TGTGAGGAAAATGTGGGGATTCTAACATTTTATCATTTTGTTATCAATTGCTGATGCATCGCTAGTTTGATCGTTACTATTAGAAACACTGTGATGGATTATATCGACGTGTTTTTCAACATCGCACATCCCTCGTATTATTAACAAGCAGCTTAAATATAATTATTATTAGAGCACTTGGTTCTGAATTGTAAAATTACCAGTCGATGCGTGTTGAGTTCGCGATTCTTTCTCCCGCTTAGGCCGGTCCGCGGTATGAAGCAAAACGAAATCAGCTATTGATAAACAAAGCCGAGCAGTTAGTACTTCCACACTACAACTTACCACTAGTCAACTTTACATATTAAATATAGGTCTAAACTCATTGATTATTTCTATCATTAAGGTAGTGTCACCAAATGCACGACAAATAATCAATTTACTTAATTTTGTAAGGCAAAGAAAAATGATTTTTTTTTTTCAAAGACTGATTACAGATTAATGTTGAATCTAATTAAAGTAAATAAACGATTTAAGGTCATCTAATTTTATAAATGGTTTTACATTTTACATTCACAGTAAACGTAATAGATTATTACATTTCGAGTTTCTTAATTCTTTATTATATTTTTAAGCGATGTATTTCTAATAAATAATGAAAACTCGACATGTGGGGAATTTGTGTGGAATATGACTTTGCTCTCCCCAATTTGGGGATTTTAACCGTGATTTTTGAAGATTTTGAACAATGGGCATTGGCAACGCTGATTGTATCGAATGATGTGACTTAATATCCAAGGTTCACCACCTCCAACAGATCTTTTAATATTCTTTACTTTATCCATTTTGCATGAATTCTTACAACGTCCAATAGAGTACAAACTCTATTTGTAGTATTTAAAAAAAATAAAATCTACTGAAGACGCGCTATAACGTGTTTGTCATAAGTACAAACACTACAGAATGTCTATAAATCAAATATATCTAGAATAAACTTAAGAACACTAGTTTTTAGAGTAGTAACAGATTTTACTGATGTGTATAGAACAATTTTACTAAAAATAATCTGTTGTTCTACAGATGAACTTAAAATAATGACTATAAGATGAAATCTTAAGAGCGATTACACTTAATTAAGTTGTTTGGTATTAAGAAGGTTTTAAAATTTTGACTTGAGTGAAATAAGTCTATAAGAACGATTTCTTTTTTCTAAAACCGTTTATAGAGAACTATTATCTAAATCTATACAATATTACGACTGTTTATAGAACAGTTTTGAGGCGTATAAAGTGTGCTCCTTGGGAAGCGTGTATAAAATCGTTGATGTGTGGTTGTACAGGCGAAAGAAGTGTGTCAGGATCGTAACAAGTGGAAGCATGTACGTTTTTAATACTTAGTAATTTGAATTAATAATCAACTATTTTTTATGATATCAATCGTGCGCCTGGCGTCGAATGAATTTTTCTAAGTGAATTCTCGAAGAAATTTTCAGATCTTTGTTATTAATAATTATAACCATAAACCTTTTTATTAAACTATTAAATTGCAGCTCTTCTTATCGGCACGGAAACTAGTCAGAAAAAGCCTTAAGTCCATCTGAAGTTCCGCTCGGACCGTGGATGCGTAATGCCCGTGTTTTCATTGTTTTTGCAAAGAGACGTGAAGCTTTTTGTAACCGGTTCAAGCCGCTTCTGCGTTAACAAGTAACTAACTCACATACACAACTTGAAGTCAGTCGATACTGTTATTTAGGACACATATTTAAATTATAGTTAATATAAAGAAATTAATACAAAGATCGAACACGAAGAAAAATTCCTTTGATCTGACAGGACTCGAACCTGCGTCTGTCCCATACCAAGACGACCGCTCTATCAACTGAGCTATATATTGAGTTAGCAGACCTTACAATTTTTTCCATTGGTTTGTCACAGGTCTTTGTTTTTGGTTTTAACGACTTTTCTCTAGAAATCTATGAAAGTATTTTCTTCACTCAACAAATCAAAAACCAAAAGTTAGGAGTAATTTCACAAAAAATAAACTAATGTCATGGTAGTAAAACATCATAATATTAATTACAACCAAAATTACGTTTATTTTATTTTATTTTTTATTTTTATTTTTTTATTTATTTTTTTATATTTTTTTATTTATGACACAATGTACAGACATCAGATACAGAAAGTGAGGAAAATAAAAAACACTTAAAAATTAATACAACAGGCATATCTGTGCCGAATTATTACTGTGCTCAACATTTATTTTAAAACATTTAGATGTACATAAACAGACACTAAATCAATCATAAAAAAAAATCGAGAGAAATAAAAAATAGAGAGAATGAGAATATGCTATTCACTTTACACTAATGCTAGCAGTGACCTCTTAAATGCTGGGACACTGCAGTTAAACGTTGTTTAAATTTAAAGTTTGTGAGAAGAAAGTTAGCTGTCATATGTCGTAAGCTACGACGCTTCGCGCTCCATTAGTTACCGTGTTGCGTAACGCCCATTTTGCTGAGGCCTTGATTTCTTTACCAAGATTTTGGTTATGTCAGGAAGTTCAATATGCAAGTGGGGCGAAGTTTTTGTAACGGGTTAATGTGTAACAGATACATAGTAAAGAATACCCCATTTACCCATTAAGCTGCGTTGAGGACTATTGCATAAAACCCTTTATTTAAACGGTATAACCCTGTGAGATAGATAACACAGGCGGAGACTGAAAGTAGCACTCTGCTGAGGCTTCGATCTTTCCATCAATTTAGTAATAACAATCAGAGTTATATGTATTATGTGATTTTCTATACATATACAATGTGTTGTATGTATTTTATAAGTAATGTTCTATTTTATATTTTATTTAATTTTATTTTTTTACATTCCACTGCTGGGCATGGTTCTTCTTGAATGAATTTACTTCGACATATCGGTCTCCTCTCGTCACAATGATTTCTTTCACCGTTAGAGAGAGGTATTTCTTCTAAATATTGACAAAGTATATAACTTATAAAATAAAGTAAAAGGTACATGCTGTGACTAGAATTTATGCCACTTTTTTATTTGTTGTTTTTAATATTTCTCCCAAAATATTAAAAACGTTAATACGACTTCCGCAGCAGCGTAGACGTTCTCGTAGCAAAATGCTACGTTTGGTATCAGGAAACGATACCCATTTTTCTACATCCACCATTTGTCATCTGCATATTTAATAAAGATGACTTCTGTAGCCTAGCGTTTAGCACGACTAGGTTGAGATTTAAAAAAAAAAGTTGGTTACTCAAATGATTTTTTTTTTCTGGTCTCAAACTGAAAAATGCCATGTATTCAAACTAGTTCTTACTTATTTATTTCTTAACTGCTCTCAAACAAAGGAATTCCCTATACCATGAAAACCAGAGCAAGTTAAGTATCTAGATCTGAGTGTCCTAGATAGAGTCCCGTATAGTCCTATAGGACTCTAGTCCTAGATAATTCCGTACTTAAGTGTGTTGCTCTGGTTTTCATAGTACAGGGAATTCCCTAGTTTGAGACCTGTGGCTGTGCGGCAGTTGAAATTACATTACAATAAATATGGCTGAACAGTCAAACTTGGCACTTTGCACTTTTTACCATTGTTGTCGCAACACATAGAGTCGAATTTAAATATTAAGTGTCACGTTTGACGTGCTTTTTTTGTCCTTTTTTTTATAATATCAAGTGACGGAACGAACAAGTCGTGCGCCTAATGGTAAGCTACACGCCTGTCCATAACAGATGCAGGGCCACTCTGAGCTTTAAATCGCAACGATCTGAACGACACTGCCACTGCGCCCGTCACATTGTGACATAAGTTGACAAGTTCCATGTCCCTGTAATTTCACCAGTACCCTTACCCTTTAAAACCGGAACACAGTGGCAGAAATAGGTAAGGTGGCAGTACTTCCCTCGACGAACTTTTTCATAAGCAGCTCTACTGCTTCTAAAACATTAGTGGTTCACATATAAGCATTTAATATACGGCTTTTTACATTTTAAATTAATCTTGTGATATCATGTTGGTCCGGCAAAGTTTGCAGCGTTTTTTATAATATAGAAAGAACGAAAGAAAATTGTTTATTGTACAAATACAGACACGCATATGTTTAAAAAAACAGGACAAAAATAATTAAAAAAATAAAATAAGTAGAATTACAACAATTTATACGAATAAGCAGTAATTTACCATATTAATATCAAGTAAGTATCCACTACTGCTCTCGTTATCATCAGACATGAAGTTGACAAGTCCAATGTGCCTGTAGTATTTATTATCAGCACTCTCGACTTTGTTATAACGGAACGCAGTATTACTCACATTACTGCTTGGCAGCAGAAATAGGCATGACGATAGCTTTTTTCTTGAGGAATTTTTTCACAGAGGGCTCCACTGCTACTAAAACCATACTAAATCGTACCTACTAATAAAAATGCGCGTTGAATCCTGTTTTTTATCTAGGATCTATTTTTATACCTTAAGTTTATACTTGTGTGCAATTAACAGTATTTGTATAGCAAGTACATGTAAATTTGTTTGAACATTTCCATACTACACAAACAAAATACAATTTACAATTCTGTTTCTGTTTCACGTTTTGGATCATTGGCTACGCAAAATTACATTATGTAGGAATCAGACGCAAATGTTTCGTGCAAATGAATTCATAGAAGCCCTTAAAGAAATAACTGTAACTAATGGAATTATTTAGGGGGCTTAAATTAAACAGTCACGTGACCTCAATGGTTTAAATCGAATGAGGGGGTGACGGTTGAGACGTGGCGGCACAGTGAGTTTCAGCTGAAAAGCCGGCGGCGGAGTGAAGGTGCCGGTGCGACGCGGGGTAGGTGGTACGGCACTGGTTGTGCGAGGTCACGCCTGCGTTCGGGCGCGTCCGGTTTTGGTCGGCTTTTGTTCGGGCGCCGACGCGCGCAAAGCGACCTCTTGCGTGCGCCGTGCAGTCACTGTGCCCATAGAGTTTACGTCTGACGACCACTCTGCGGGCCCCGCCGCTTCCCACACTGCCATTGAATCGTTATCCGATCCGTTCCTGGGCCTCCGCCTCCAGTGAACGTCGTCGCGGTTTTACGCTAACGTAACTAATTTACTACAAACAACTGCAGCACTCGCGTCAAAAATAAAATGTGCAAATACACAAGAAGAAGAGTCCAGCGGTCAATCGATCGACTGCATTAATATGTAAAATCTGTTATTATCGTTTTGCAGCAGTCTTTGTTTGCGAATTTAGTTACGTTATGATAGGGTTTTTGAGCTTCGTTTAACATATCTGCTGACTTAGTGATCAGTGATCGCTTGCGCTGCTCCTGTGGAGTGGCTGAGCGTGTGAAGCCGTCCTTAGCTTAGTTCATTCAGTGATAAGTGCGTCAATCGCGAATAGGTGTTCTTGCGATTACTTTATTTGCGAGTTTAGTTACTTGTATCTTTTCGAGTTTTTACTGCTGTCCTTTGCCATTCTTGTGGAAAAACGCGATCCATGCTTGGAGTTATGACTACCATGGTATGGTTTTCTTTGTTTAAGTTTTGGTATCTTTCTTGTTTGTAGGAATCGAAGGTAGTTTATTGATATCATCACACTACAATCGATGCCTAGTAGTTAAGACTCATACTATTAGCAACAGCTTACAGATACTTTCATTATGATTATAACGCTGAATATTTACTTAATTGTATTTATTACATTTGTTATGCAGAGCATGTCTGCTTTGCATACGATACTTGACTAGCAATGTAATAACGGCATTGTACTTAATATCTTTATTCTATGTGTATCCGATATTAAAATACAAGCATAGTCATAAGCCTCCTTTTTATGAAGCTTATCGCAAAGATTATAAAAATACAATAGCGAGTGAACTATGCAGAGCATGCCCCTCCCTCGCTTTGCTGGAAGAATGCCCAGAAGATCAGTTAGACGCCTAGACCAGCAATACGCATACATTATATTTCCAGACCTACATTCAACTTGGCACGTAACTACACGAATATTTTTTTTACTGTATCTAGTTCATGTTTTTTACATTAATTTTACCACATAATACGACCGTAATGAGTATGGAGCCTTATTGTAGATACAGGCATGAATAGAATCAATTATTAAAATGCATGCTACGCGGTGTCGTAGCACACAGCAACACACAGACATGAACACTCTACAAAGGGGCTACGAATAACAAATGACTTTTCGTATTAGTCGTATAGTTCATAAGCACAATATGTACTTTATATAAATATAGCTTTAATCACATTACATTCTCATGCATCAATATCCGCATATGCCGTTATAATATATGCGCAATGTATACAAACCGTACTTATATATATCTATAAACATACAATACTTCGGAGCAAAACCTAGTGTGAAGTATTCAAGCTTTCATTTTATATTTGTAAATATGTATGGGCTGTGTCCCTAACATGGAGCTGTCTAGTGGTTTACGTAAGCCGGCCTCTTGGCTCTACTTCTTGTGTTTCAGTTCGTCTTGGCTAGATGATCTTTTGCTACTTCTTGCGTAATCGCAACTACTAAAAGTCTCAGACACGTATTTTAATCTCCAGCGACTACATTGCAATAATTACGTATTGGCGTGAATAAATACGTCAATAACGTCTTAATTCATTCTCACAACATTATATCAATCACGTTCTTATAAGTCTTCTAACCATATTTACTCTTTGTCCATAAAATTATTCGGCTTGAAATAAAATTATTCATGACTTTCTTATAATTTCGTCGATTTACGCTTCTATCTGTTTCCTAACTTTCTCGTTTTGCCTAAGTGAAATATATCGTTACCCGTTTGAAATAACAAAGCATCTGAAGTATTCAGTAAATAGCACCACAATTAATGGATATAAAGGACGTGTTGTATCTATCTCATTGTTTGAAATCTAACCAACAACTCTCAAAGAGGTGTTTTTCTCAAATTGTCAACTTTTCCCAGAAACGTTTCTTCTTTAACATAAGAATGTCTGACACAAGTTGAACAGAGTATAAAGCAATGAAAGGGACCGGCCTCCCATTGACATTCTGCGCTGAATGAGCCTTGGCCTCGTTCTGTATTTTAAGTCGCTCGCAGCTTTATGCCTATAGCCGACGTGAGTAGCGTCGCCCACCCGCGGGTCTCTATTCTTGTGCGGAAACTCAGTGTTAGACAGTGATGCTATACTGTGATTGTCTTTGCTGTTTGTATCTTGCTCTCACCAGAGTAGATCAGTTTCATTTCTCCAAAACCATACCATAGTAAACATATCCATCAATGTTTGTTATTGAAAAAGTTTTCGCTTATGTACAACCAACTTTACGTACATTAAAGTTGACCACTTCGCATTCGAAAGGAAAAATTGAAGTCAAGAAAAATACTGGATATAAAAGATTCAACTATTCAAGCTACAGCACTCCATGTATTCGAGGTGGCGTCGAAGTGTGTATCGGAGGACAGTGAGCTCTCTGATCACCACTGTGGGTGCCGGAGAGAGCATTGGAACTCGGGAGGTATGGAGGAACGAGGCCCACCTGAGGTGCCGCTGATCGTGACGCCACCGTGCGCGGGCGGTGGCAGCGGCGGCGGCACGGCGCTGACCACCTCGCGGCGCACCGCCTCCGCACGTGGCTCTCGTGAAGAGCCGCTCTCCACGTGGCGTTCTTCGGTGCGCGTGCACGACACCGGTTTCCGCGGCTCCCGCAAAAGTGTCGTTCGCCTCGAACCACCCTGTAATGGCCTCAACGGGCTGCCTGCCATCGGCAAGGAGGTAAATTCATGCTCTAATTGGCTGGTTGTTCAATAAAACTACGTATGTATATACAATCTACAAATTTTGCTAAAATTTCCTTTAGGAATGAAAATAAAAAAATTTCAAACGCACTCAAAACAGCTTTATTAACGAAGGCGTTAGTTTCACTTGTAATAAAGATCTTATTTCTTTTTCCTTAGCTCATTGTCATTCAAAGAGAATAGCACTGAAAATATAGATTAATTGTTAAGCATACCAAGCACGGATGAGGAATGAACAATTAGCTGAATAAACCTTTTAGACATGTTCATCTTGAACCACGTTTACAATACTTTCTATTTCTTAAAACGTCTTCTCGTATAGAGTGTCGACATTTTTATTGATTTTCGTTGCGTAGGAACCCCAAGAACAAAATTTACACGATACGACGAAAGATGTCATAAGATCAAGAGGGAAAAGTGTAAGCCGAGCAGGACGAATTGATTTAACGTGATATACTCTAGCACTTGGCGTTCTTCAACCGGCGACGATAATAACTTAAGCCAAATAAAAGTCTCCATATACCAATACTGTAATATAATAAAGAAAATTTACCATGGTTCTCGATACCTGCGTAACTAAGTCTGGTTTCACAAAATAAAACCAGCTATAGACAGCAATATGTAACTTGAAAATTCATTCGTTCTAATTCAAATCGAAATCTTAGTGGCGAATAAATTTAATATTGTATATCGATAGCTTTGTACAAAAGTCGTCTATTAGCACCAATTCATCAGGAAGCTGGATTAAAATAATACCAGTCTAATTATGTCATATGGTTATTTTAACCAATGAAAAGCTCGGTATCTCGTTGACAATAACATTCTACCACAATGCTCAGTAACAATTCAACATCAAAAATGAACATTTGGTTTTCGGTCACTATTCTCAAAAAGCTATGTACTATTTTTATAAAGGTATATGAGTAATCACGTATTTAGTGTCGAGAAGCCGCCACTTACCTACTGTGTAACATGACTCAAGATATCGATCAACTAATTCCATCTACGTTTCTGTGTAAGACTTTGATTTTTTACGCTGAATATTTTACGCAGATCGCCTTCAGAGAATTTTCTTTTTAATGAAACTAGGAACACTATACACGAACACGCAACTTACACGGCCATAGATGTTAGCATCGTTTCAATCATTTTACTTGTTCGTTTAGTCATAATAACAATAGGATATTGATATTATACAAGCATCAAAACACAATTAAAAAATAGTTCTTAATTGGTAGAGAAGAGAATCGAAATTCGTGAAAAAAAAATAACAGGACATTTGTTTGTTACGTCATACTTTAGTGGCGCCATGCAAGCAACATACTCAGGACAGTCTTGCTAAATAGAGTTGGAGCATTTCCTCACCAATGAATTTGATTATTAATACTTTAGTATTAAAGATCAAAGTACCATTTATTAACTGCGTCTGTCTCAAATCGGTTACCATGCTGGGTTGCCACGCCGAGGTGCCGCGTTCGATTCGAATATTTGAATGGCGTACATTTATTTCTCTCGTGAGTTTGGATATAATTTTTGGTTATCTGTATATATGTGTCCCTGGCACCCGTGACACAGGGTTTCCCTTGTGCGGACGTATGAGTGTGTGCGCAAAAAATGTACTTTCAGATATCGAAAAATACACATCAGAATCTTCGTTATTGTGCTCAAATGAATTTGAAAGTTATATGTATAAAAAGTAAGTATAAAAATACATCGAAGGACTTTTTTTATGAGTGTTCGATCTTTGTATTAATAAATATAACAAACTAGTGGAGTAATTTCACAAAAAATAATTGAATATCAGTTCAATAAAAAAACCTATGTGTAAGGTTCATCTTTGGGCTTCGTAAATATGACCGAATTTCACATTTCCGCAGTCAGCTCAAATGGCTTCCCATCCGTCTCCGCAGGAATTTGCATATTGTCTCCATTCTTTACAATATTTTACATAACCCTGTGTCTCCCGGGTACCTGAAAGAGCGTTTCAGCTTCCTTAGGTCCCAGAATAAACCCTGTCGCTCTCTTGTTAGGTCCCAGTTATCTTTTCCATGCTTCAATTCCGGTTTCTATTCTCATTCCTTCACCGTTCATGCGGTCAGACTTTGGAATGCACTTCCTATTACTGTTCACGAAAGTAAATCGTTAGCTATTTTTAAAGTGAGAGTTAAAGAGCATTATTTATCTACTATTCCATCCATATCTTAGGTATTATATTATAAAATATGTATTTATCTAAGTATTTATATAATTTATAACAATTTAATTTTTTTTTTTTTCCTTGTTTTGTTGTGCACATATGCCCGTTCTTTTAGTTATAGTGTCCTGTATTTAGATCTGCAGGAAGAAATTTTTATTAGAAATAAGCAGAACCTTTTGTTTTTAATTTCGCTTGTATTCTTTGTGACTTGTATTTTTCCTGTACAATAAACTATTAAAATAAAAATAAAAAATAAAAATTTAAAATATAAAAATACAATTTTATAGGCCGTTACCCCTTTTTCCCTATATCTATGGTCGTATCAAAATCATGAGTAACAATAATAATGGGCGAGATAATCACACCATTTAACAGTCGTCAAAGATTTATTGATCGTCTAAGGTCACTGCGTTAAGTTTATGGAGAAATATTCTATTGTATTGCGCGCACAAATTGTGTACTGCGGCTTGATAGGGAATCAACATTAAATAGGCAAATAGACAAATATCGTAATGAAACTTGCGTCAA